GCGAGAAGCCGTGGCTGCGTGTGACCTGGTGTCCTTTTAAAGAAGTCATTATGTTTAATTATGTCCCATCAATCACTCTGTCAGGATGTGAGCCTTGTTTTAAACAGAGGTGCCTCGTTTCACAGGAAAACCTTTCAGTCGACCTCCCGGAGGCACCGAGGAGACGTCCCGCGACTCAGCCCGAAAACACGACGTCTGCTTTTTCTCATGGTTCACTTTATTAACCTGACACGACACAGTGCATTGTGGGTCAACATCAATGTTCCAATGAAGTGACAAACAGGTTCAGGACGACTCAGATGTGTGTCAGCGAAAAACACAATCACAAATGTCTTGAGGGAACGTTCACACACAGGAAGCGTCACTGTCGGATTCTGTCGTCTTCTCTCTTCGTGACATTTAAAAAATAGTTTCTTTAATTTAAAAAAAATCCTTTTGTGCAGTAATTCTAAATACACTACACACAATAATGACTTTATGGATTTCAATAACATATTCAGCTTTTTATAGATAGATTCAATGTCAAGGGTCAGTTTTAATGAAGTGTTTTCTATCATGTTGAGTTAATAAATCAAATAATAATAAATGATTTGGTTAAATAAACTTACACACATATATAAACACTAAACACACAATTTGTTGAATGAAACCACAAAGTTATTTGATTTATTTGATTTATTCAAACTCATAAAGACAGAAAACACTTTAATTTAATCATTGTGACTCTTTACATTGAACTTATGTAGTAAAGTTACAAAAAGTCAATAATATTTGTTTTGACAGATTTTTAGGGGACGACAGTTCATCTCAACCCAACACTGACCTCTTGTGGCCACGAACGAGAATGAATCTGCTTGTTTTTCATTCATTTTCAGTTTTTTGTGAACTGATTTAAAACATAAATATTTAGTCAACGGTTAAATTGTAAATCTGTAAAAAAAAATTGCTTATTAAAAATGATCTGTACTGTGAAATCACCATTTTGCTGCTTTGTGAAATATATATATTTTTTTTCTTTCTGTATTATTTCCATTTTTGAATTAATGGTGAAAACATACATTTTTAAATAATGTGTAACTGCACTTGCACATCACACCATGTCATGTTCTCCCTCTTCTTTCTTGGTGTAATATATAATCTTCGCCCTATTTCCACATCTCATGTCACAAAGGTTTTATCTCATCGCCCTCGGTTTATCGCTCTCGTCCGGCCGCCCCCACACGTCGAGCAGTAATTGGCTCCGAGCAGGAAACAACCAGAGACGACATGTTGGCTCACCAGAGTCTTAAAACTGAATCCGTCCGTCTCCTGGTGCAGTTCATGCTGGTTTCCTCTCATGTGTCATTGTTACCAGATGAACACTGATGGTTCGGTTATTTATTTAGAGGTCGGAGGTTTGTTTGCCCTGTATTTAGTTTTATAAACATGTCTGGTAACGGTATTTACTTTGTTAATATACAGGAACAGTTGGATAATTACACAGAGGCTCAATAAATACAGACTCTTTGGATGTTAAAACAAATGTAAACCAAGCTTCACACAATGGTTGAATGTTTCGTGTTCAGTTTTCTATAGCAAAGTTTAACTTTTCTTAATTTCTGTTACTTCAACAGACGACAAGTGACTCAGAGTGAATTTATTATTTAGTGTACGAGCAACAAATTCAGACACCGAAACAAAACTCCCATAAAATTTAAAATATTTCTTTATTTGTTTTTAAGCCGAGGTCAAAACTCAAGAAGAAGATCCTGCAAATGTGAAACAAAAAACTTTGACAGTGTTTTGAAAACTAAAATCTCTTCCTTCACCTGTAAATGATTGAGACGATATTTGTGTTTGAACCGGAAATAATTTGGTGGAAAAGATGAAGCAGCTGAACTGGTGACGACATCCTTTAACTTCCTGCTGTTGGGCGCCATCTGGTGGTCAGTCTCTCCCATGCTGGAACCTGCAGGATGTGGTAATGGAGCAGAGAGAAGAAGAGGTGAAGAAGATGGAGGCTGCAGATATTATTAGTATTATTATTATTATTATTATTGATGTTTGGACTGATTCCATTTTAAAACATGACACACGCCTCTGACAGCTGCAGAACACGCGTGTGAAGAGTCAACATGTAAAGTTTCTCATTTGTAAACGTGCACATCGACAACTTGTGAGTCTGTCGGATTCAAACTGTGACGACTTCAAAAACAGAAATTCACGACGACGACACAATATCACACTTTAAACACCTCGAAGCAACACTGCAGAACTTCTACTGAGCGACAGCGCCCCCCGCAGCCACACGCGGGGATAAATTCTGTTGACCTTCGTGTCTGAGGTCGTTGGCTGGAGCTCTGACTGTGTCGCTCGATATTACCCATGATCCCCGGCTTCCTGAACCAGAAGACAATACACCATATTTTCATGGTTTAAAACGTTTCCTGCTGAACACTGGAGATAAACTCTGGTTGTTAATCACGTCTCAGTGTTTGGAACTGATCTCAGTTCAGTCTGTCTGGAAACGTCCTCCACGTTCACACTCTAACACTGAGTGAAAGTTTCAAACCAGCTGCTGTTTCAAGGGGAACAAGTCGCACAGTGTTGCTTCAGAGGAGCGGGAGCCGTCGCTGTGAGCCACGTGTAGCAGGGATCTCTTCCACCACAGAGCTATGCTGCAGCCGAGGGTGGAATGGGTAACACCACTGCTCTGCTCTGCCTCTGGTCTGCACACACACCCAGTATGAAGCACTGGGCTGAGCTGAGACAGGAGGCGCACACACACACACACACACAAAGACGGTTACACAGAAAATATCTGGGATATTTTAGAAAGTAAGAAATTATCATATTTGTGTGTCCCCTGGATAAACTCAATAATCAAAATGCTGCAAATCTAATTCCTGTTGATGGACTAATGGATTAAAAAGCTCTGATTGAAATAAAGTTTGAACTGAAACTCAAAGCTGTGACGTGTCATCCTGCGGAATAACAACTTTTACTTCCTCCGTCCTGATCGTGCCACATGTGAGGAAATCAAGGCAATAAAGGCATAAATCTACTTATTAGGAAAAAGTACACTATACATATTGTATATATATAATGTTATATATATACGATATGTATATATGTATTGTGTATTTATATACAATAATACATATTTCTAATCTTGTTTTCATCACAAACTGGGATAGTAACAGGCTTAACAACACAGACACAACATGAACACCTGAACACATGAACACAACATGAACACAACAAGGACACAACATGAACACAACATGAACACAACAAGGACACAACATGAACACAACATGAACACAACAAGGACACAACATGAACACCTGAACACATGAACACAACACGGACTCACAAACCTGCTGACCCTGATGACGTGTCTGTGATCGTGAAGTGAAGTCGAATGAAACCAGATGATTTTTCAGGTGAAATGAAAACTCACCGTTTCTCTGTTTGTTCCGCAGCGTCGTGTGCAGACGTGGACGAAAGAACTGGAACAGAGGAGGAGGAGGAGAGAAGGAGGAGGAGGAGGAGGAGAGAAGAGGAGGAGGAGGAGGAGGAGAGAAGGAGGTGAGTGGTTCAGCTTATCGCCTCACACTGCGGGTTGCCAGGTTTGCTCTTTATCCCCAGCTACCACACATGAGTAAGTGTGAACGGCACACGTGGCTCCAAATCAGATACAGAAGGGACGTGGAGGAGAAATCGGTGGAACTCAAACATGGCGGACGGCTGTGATGGAGGTCGTGGACCTCACTTGGGGTGAAACATCTGTACAAGCTCTCACATCTGTGGCCTCCATGTTTATTAACGACTTCTTCTCCACGTTTACCTCCGGACACAACGTGCTGCTCGTGACGTCTCAAGATGGAGAAAATCCCTCGAACTTAAGGTTCCAACTACCAGATGTTGGCAGATGTTAGAGGCCTCCAGCAGATGTTAG